TGAATGCACACTTATCCTACCAATTTATACCAATATTTCGACTGGCCAGACCGTCTAAGTCTTAAGAAGTATTCACTTTGGACTTTGATGACTTTCTAGACTCCCAAAATTCAATTAAGAACTCAGAGTTCGATCTATATACGAACTGATGATACGGAAATGCCTTTTAAGTAAACGGAATGGTTGAAGTTCAGGATCAAAGAGATAATATTCCCCAATTATCATTTAAAACAAGCCATCAGATCAGTACTATAGTTCTCAGAGTTTTTAACGACAAAACGAGGCAGTGCTAATGGGCTCTTTCACTAATTTTTGAAATTGGCATATTTGGATAAAGCAACTAAAAACAGAATTTTCTGTATTTTTACTTTTGAAAAATTCATAGTCCTTCTTGAGAAAACAGAAAAAAAAGAAATACCTCCAAACAAAAACCCAGAATTTATTTCTATGACGTCGCAGCTCGCAATTTGACCGTGTTGCCACTAATTGTCAACATTGAAAATTTGTAATAGATTCAATTCTGAAATGTTCGCAAAATATCATGAAAAGTAGTTAAATTAATTAGTTATGGATTCAAGATTTTATGACATATTTATTGAAATTATGCTTAAATACAATTTAATATAATTTTTTATGTTTAGTTTTATTTATTTATTTTACGTTGCACTACATTTAGTCACCACCGACAACAGCGCATTCGAACCTTTACCTGCATTTACTACAGGGTAAATACAGCCGAGGCGGTCAGCTCCTTGCAACAACAAGCGAAATGAAAAATATTTATGCGACGTCAGCAAATCGGCGCGTTTTTAATTAATTTGAATTTGGCTAGTTTAAAATGCCTGTAAAAAACTTATTTAACCTTGTAGAACATTTTTTTTTGGTATATATGCCTAAAATAGTCCCTCCTTTGGGATTTTATACTTAAATTACGTATTTAAATTTTAGTGAAAGAGCCCATTCAAAGCAAGAGCCTCGACCCACATCAATAGAAAAGTACGATGATTTAATTATTATTGCTTTCTGTTCTGGAGAAACGCCGCTAATCAGAGTACTTGAGCACATGCAATTTTATGATTCTTTGCTTCACAAAAATAAAACCTAAGAATAGGGCCTTTTGCCTTTTGCATTTTTTTTTTAGGCAAACGTTATTATTTAGTTCCTCAATCAGTTTTTTAAGCCGCTACCTATAGCTTTTTTGTTTATAGGTCTCACGAGTATAAAACTAAAGAATAGGGATGTTTTAAATATTATTTTATAAAACTCATCAGCTACCAAGTCAGTTTCTAATCTGCTGTTGATGTTGTTAGTTTTTTTTCTATCAGTAGGGTTTTGACTAATTTATTTCATTTACCAAAGTTTGTTTCAGTTCTTAGTCCAAGTATTACTATCCTTTAGTTTAAGTAGTGGCTTTCGCTCATTATTGTTGTTTATTTAGCAGATATTTTAGTTCTCTAGTGAGTATCATTATTATTAATTTTTTTATAATCAGATTTTTTTTCTTTTTTGCTGTTTTTCACTGATTTGTTGAACACTTGTCAAGATGTTAAAATTTAATTTCTATGCTCCTTTAACCCCAGCGGCAGTAAAAGTACTTTTAGTGCCGCTCGTGCTTTTACTGCTGCTCAACCATTTTGGAGAGAAAATAAAAAAATAGCGTGTTACATATGGAGCAGAAGCACTTTTTATGCTGCAGCAGTATTGCCAGCCTCGCATAAGCTTCACTACGTTCGGCTCGCAAACCTACCGCTTCAGCACAAAAAAGTAAAGCTTCATGTCATATTTTACTGAATATCGTCAAGTATATAGAAAATTAATTAAATTTGCCAAACAAAAGTACTATTCTAATCGAATAGCACACTCTAATAATAGGCAAAAAGAAAGTTGGGACATTGTTAAAGAGTTGATTGGCAAAAAGGGTACATCTACTAACTCAGGTCTTACTCCTGAACAATTAAATTTATTTTATTGCTCAGTAGCAGATAATCTATCTTCCAGTATCAGTCCGGCAGTTGATGCTCTTAGTTTTCTTGGGGATTTGTTCATTCCCAATTCATTTTATTTTTATCCGACCGATATTCAAGAACTTCGAACTGTATTTACCAAGATAAAAAATTCGAACTCTTCTGGTTGGGATGACATTTCATTGAAAATATTTATAAGACTTCCAGATCACGCGCTGCAAACCCTTGCGGAAGCAATTAACAATTCCTTTGTTACGGGAACTTTTCCTTCTTCTTTGAAGTTGGCCAAAGTTATTCCATTGTATAAAGGAGGAGACAGCGAGTCAGCCTCAAACTTTAGGCCAATTTCATTACTTCCAACCTTGTCAAAGATTGTTGAAAAACTTGTGAAGAGTCGTATGGTCAGCTACATAAATGTACATGGTTTTTTGAGTGTGGATCAGTTTGGTTTTCAGGATTCAAAGAGCACAAATGATGCTATGTTCTCTTTATTGAGAAGTGTGTATGTGGGATTGAATGATGGAGAGGTTGCGGCAGCGATATTCTGTGACCTCACCAAAGCGTTTGATTGCGTGAATCACAGAGTATTGCTCCGCAAGCTTGAAATGTATGGTTTTAGAGGCACGTCACTGGACTGGATATCGTCTTACTTGTCTGATCGCCATCAATCGGTACGCTTTAATGGTCAGGAATCCGAGTTTCAAGCTATCACATCCGGTGTTCCTCAGGGCTCGGTACTGGGCCCTTTGTTATTTTTGTTGTACATTAACGATCTCTCAAGGATAAATATATCGGGTGAATTCACGATGTTTGCTGATGATACGACGATTTTATGGCGTGATAGGAATACAAAGAACTTGGAGCTTAAGATGAATATTGATATTTTAAGAATCAAAGAATGGTTCAATTCAAATTTTTTAACCCTCAACATTTCGAAAACAAACATTGTTTCTTTCAAGTGTCACATGGGAGATGTTTTTCTAAATACCGAGGTTGTGCAAAGTTCACATATCAATAAATTTTTGGGCCTACATATTGACGATAAATTGAAATTTGAAAGCCACGTTTTTCAGTTGAATAAAAAACTTTCGGGTGGGTGCTTTGCATTGAGGACAGTTTCTCGAGAGGTAGACATGTCTATGGCAAGAAATGTATATTTTGCGCTGATTGACTCTCATTTACGGTATGGAGTCTGTTTTTGGGGATCGTGTTCTGATCACCTGTTTAACTCAGTTTTTATTCTGCAGAAGCGAGCTATTAGGTTCTTATGTAAATTAAATATCCGAGAATCCTGCAGACCTTATTTTTTGTCGCTCGGAATATTAACACTGGCATGTATATTTATATTGGAATCAGTCTGCCTTACGCATGACAAGTTCCACAATGAGATCCTGACTGCTGGGGCTTATGCAACTCGGTCATCGCACATTGCTCCTCTACCTATCCCCTTAACAACGCTAGTAAAAAAATCTGTTATCTATAATAGTAAAAAGCTTTTTAACCACCTGCCTTCTAATGTCCGTGAGATATGCAACAAAGAGCAATTTAGGGGGAAGGTAAAGAGGATACTGGTTGGGAGGGCTTACTATTCGGTTGCTGAATTTTTCAGTGATACTTTTGCTTAGTGTCTTTTCGTTTACAGTTTAGTTTGTCTTATATTTTACTCACTGACTTATTACTTTATACATGTCTAGTATTTAAGTATGTTACCTTTAATGTCTTTTAATGTGTTATTTTAATCTATGTAGTTTATTTTATAAGAGTATTTTAGCAGCACAGTCTTGTTTCATTTTATTTGATGATTTTTTTTTTTTTTAATTTTAAGCCTGTATTTGCTACAACTTTTATTTTTAAGTTTGCTTTGATAAAGAGATGTTATAATTCTTATATCAATAAAGCTATTTTTGACTTTGACTTTGACTTTGACTTCCACTCCTAATACAACAATATAATAATACTATTGACAATAAATCGCGTTTTGTTATTTTTTCCAGACTTAACCTAAAACTGAATGATCCCATTGCAAGGGTGAATCTCACAAATATTTTGTTATTAGCTTGATGTAAAGGCGTTTCTCAAACAAGTCTAAAAATAGTAAAAATATTGATTTTTTTATAGATTTTCAGGTGTTTATAGTTTCAACCAACTTTTATGGCTGATACTAGACGTGAAATAAAGATAATATATTTAGTGCTTTCCGATCTATACATTTTTTTTTTTTTTAAATTTAATTTCACCCTTTCGAGCCAATACTCTACACTGCAGCCTTTATAGGGTTTTTGTATTTCATTTGTATGGGCTCTACTCCTTCTCATTCATACTTGGAGATCTGATGATTGGCGGCCGCGCGGGTGACCTACCGTCCCGTACTACTGCGGTCACCCATCCAATCTCCATCCCGACACCACGTTGCTTGGCTTGAGTAGGCCGTCTCTCACGTCCTTGATCAAGAACCAACGTGCCGGTTGATCTATACATAAGACAAAATGTTGAAATTCCTATTATTTACTCTACTGAAAAGTTGCTAAAAATGAGATACGCCGTCTTTTCAACGGCAATATGTAAATGTGACAGAAATTCTTGATTCATATAGACATAATCTAAAAAATATTTAGCAAATATACTTATTTGATTTGAATCAAAAGTATTCATCACATGTTTTAGTAACCATCAAGCAATTGTTTCATCTTGAGAGTATGATACAAAGGAAATAACTTACTATGAAGTTTAAAACTAATAAGTCAAAAGAAATAGTGGAATTTCCGTAACACTTACCCAATTTGGTGACTATGGTGTCATTACATTGTGGTAAGTTTCAGGGTTGCAGAAACCATGGCGCGTTTTAGCTACTCATTTAATACCAAAACTTTAAAGTAACAAATAATTGTCACTGTAACGTCAAAAATTCAACTTCTGGGTAAGCGTGACTACAAATGTTTTTAAAGGTAACCACAAACGCGGAGGGACAATAGAAAACACTTTAGGATTAGCCACTCCCAAGTAACATTGGAAGGTAACCGATACGTAAAAAAATCATTAAAGTAACATTAATTTATTTCTTGAAAACATAGAAATGTGAGGCAATAACACTATAATTACTTAGCCTAAAAGTATTTGCATAAAACTTGAAAAACGTTGCATTATTATTATTATTATTCAAAATACATATTACATTATTATTCAAAATATTACATTATTATTATTATTCAAAAACAGTCTATGGGGTGTAACAGATAATCCACCATAATTGAATTATATTCAAAAACAAAATAATAACTTTGCTCAGTCATTTTAAAAAATTACCGACAATTAAAGTGCGGAATATTGTCCAAACGAAACTTAAATATTTACAAAAAAAAAAAATAGAATACAATTTTTATTACTAAATTTGCGGTTCAGTCACATTAGGCCGATGGCATGACTTTAAGGCGCTCGAATGCTGCCTTTTCCAAATGTTCTCTATGATCCGGATGAGCAATGTTGATCAAAGCATGTGCCCTTTGTCGGAGCGATTTGCCAAACAAGAAAGCAATACCGTGCTCGGTTACGACGTAATGCGCGTGCGCCCTGGTTGTTACCACACCAGCACCTGAAAATGTTTCATGAAATAAGTATAAATGCAATAACACTTGGGTTACTCTAATTTTAAATTTACCACATTAGAATAAAATTCACAAGAAAAGCTCAAAGTCTTCCTCCACAAATACTTTATTCATATTAAATGGCCCTACAGGTTTCGGGATTAGTAAATCCCATCATCAGGGGCAATGAATAAGCTCATATATTTACAGGGATGGATATCATAGGGTGCCAGATCATGCTACGAAAAATTAGTTTCAGGTTCAAGTTTGGATTAGAAAAAAACGTAGAATCAGGACCACAAATGTAAAGAGGACTTACCATTTTGTAGAGGAAAAAAAAGGGCATAAATAAGTTAAAAAATTTACTGTGTCATATTAATTAAAGAAGGTAAAACTAGATTTACGTTCCGTGTAAATAACTGTATTAAGTTTTAAATAAATTTCATTGAAAAACTTTTGTAAAATCATTGGATCTCTTAAGAAGCTCATGGTAAGAGTGAAGAATCTATTTATTTGTGGAGGAAGACTATCCGCGTGTTGCTTAATTCATCAAAATGGTGCACCGCCACGGATTTGGTGATTGAAATTCACTAATGCCAATGCCAAACCGCAGCTTATCGAACCCTGTTTAATTTAACAACACTGCTTTTTCTACCATTCCACCACGGTGCCTACACCAGCTGAATTTAGCCACACGCGGTTTGAGAGCTTTTCTTCTAAATTAAATCGCAACTTGACTTTGAGATATGGACTACTTCTTCAATTTAAATAGGAATAGTTCATAAGGCATCAATAATTTTGACTAAGTGAGATGAGTCTCACAATTTTGTAAAACTCTTTTCCAATGTTGTGGTTACCCTGTTGTTTTGCTAAAAAATAAGTAAATAAAAAACAAATGTTTTGGCAACTCTTCAGCCTTCAATACAGCAAGACAAGGAAGGATCCTTCCTTGGGTGCTAATGCTGTGTTTCTCACTCGTCCTGTAATTGACGATTTTGGAATATACAGGCTGATTCAAAGTGGAGAACCAGAAGAAATTTTTTTTAAAACTTGATATATAGTCCTTTATAGTTTTGGATTTTACAGAAAAACCTAGACACATATTCCATTTAGTAATTCTACTGTTATTGAAATATTGACAGATGAAAATTGAAACTTTTGAACGTTAACAGACTGTAAAATGTAAATGGTTTGAAATGAAGCAAAATGTTTTGCACATAATTATGAAAATTTATGAGGCTTCATTTGGTCTGCAATAGCATCCTAGTGTCGGGACTGCAACACAGCTCTGAACTAATGTGCACACTCAAGAATTTTGTGAAGTTTTCTGTATGGAAACTGGAAAGCAGCTTCCCAACATACCACAGTGAGATGTCATTGCTCCACCTCCAACTGCATCTCGCTTATTCTATCCACCTCCTAATCGACGATGTGGTGTCATCAGCCAACACGAAGTAATTTGCATTCGGCAGGCCTATTCTCTACGAACAGCAATTATATAGCAACTAGCAACCAGTCGCAAGTTGCTTTTTTTGAATAGAAAACTCGCGTTTGACAGCGACTTGACAGCGATAATTTCGCAATTCTCTGCTGTCGGAAATTACAGAATAAGGCTGCTGATTATCAAGGGGCAGGTTGATTAAGAAGAGCAGAGAGACCTTTCGGCATCGATGATTCAAGATTCTATGTCAGAATCTTACTGGTGGGAAACGTAGCTGAATACTTTGCTCACGTCTCACAACATTGTACTTACATACTCAACATCATGGAGAGCAAGGAACGAGATCTTAAAGCAGTACCGAGTCCCTGTCTGAATCCTCAGTAATTTCGTTCCATCATCATTAAATTGAAGAAATTATGAAGCACCCAACCACGTGAATGTTTCCTAGATGACTAAGGACAGAAACTGTAATAATTTCTTACCTTTTTTGATTGTAGGCACGATTTTGCTTTCCCCTTTGTTAGTAGAGGATGGTAAGGCAATGATCGGTTTTCCTTTCCCATCTGTACCTTCAGCTGCACCCCTAATAAAATCCACTTGACCACCAAATCCGGAGTACATTCTGGTTCCAATAGAATCCGATACGATTTGGCCTGTTAAGTCGACTTCAATGCATGAGTTGATGGCAGTCATTTTGGGGTTTCTGGCTATTATACCTAGAATCGACAAATTTGAAATATTTTTTTTATGACTGTGAATTAAAGGAAAACGAGATTATGTACATATATTGTTTCATAAGTTTGGATTGAATCTATTTTGGTGCTAGATTTAAAATGGTCCATTGGTATTTGGATCTTTTCGTTATACCAAAGATAATCCTACTCGGAGTAGGATTATCTTTGGTTATACACATATCGATATAACCACAATAATTTGTGGCATTCGAGAAAACTCACTGAAATAGTAGACTCGCAAAAAAAATAACAAGGGTAAAAGAAATTAAATAAACAGGGAATAAATCAAACCTCTAGCTGGGAGGGCCGTCAGGCTACAGCCTTCTGGACTGGAGCCCTTCATGGGGCTGACCATGTCGGTAGGCAAAGATATGATAAAAAAAAACGCTCCTATACCCTTTTCAAAAACCTCTGGGACAATATGATTGGCTGCAACTTATCCAAGGAACTGCTAAGCTATCCAGATAAAGCTGCAACGAGCCAATAGCTGTCGTTGACCAGGAAAAGGCTACGCCTAATAACGGGCATATTGACTGGCCACTGTCAGTTAAACAAACATTTGTTTAGTTAGGTTGCATCTCAGTAACACACCCTTGTGTAGGGCTTGTAATCAAGAAGACGAGACGATAGAGCACATTCTCTGTGACTGCACTGCTCTGTCGCCAATATGCAGAGCCAGATTAGGCCAATCTTACCCATCAGTAGAAGAGATCAGAGGCACCGCCCTTGGCGATGTCATCGCCTATGTTGAATCGCTAGGCTGGATGACGAGCTAAGGATGACTCCTTTTCTTGTGGGGGCACACAATGGGCCTAATGTGGCCTAAGTGCTGTGGAATACCACCCTCCAAAACTTACAGATACAGAGATCAGGGAATAAAAGAATTTAAATTTTGGTTGGCCATTCTCAGGTACTTTTACACAAAAATTGGTAGAGTGTTTTCAATCACCCATTGCAGGAAACTACCTCGCAAATAAACATTCCTGAATCACGAGAAAAGAGTTTCAAAGTTGATTGCTTGAGGCACCCCATCAGCTGTACAGCTAGCAAAGTCTAAACGCGACCATCTACATCTTGTCAAGTTGAAAGACTACATATTAGCATTACAAACATTTTCGTACTAAGAACAAAGAACCACTAAATATAATTGATTCTTAAATAAACATTGTCAGGATTTTTTTTTTGCCTTACCAGTATTATTAACATAGTCTACAACCAACATTTCGATAAATGGATTATTGTCAACAAAGTCATACAGTTCTTGGGTGCCGATCAGGAACGAGCCAACAATTTTTCCCTTGTGGTGCGTCTTACGATTGTTGGTAATACAGCCTCGGTTAACCAGATCGATCACACCTCCAGCAAACATTTCAGAGTGAATTCCAAGATCTTTGTGGTTGGTGAGTGCAGATAAGACAGCGTCTGGAATGCTACCAATACCTGACGAGATAGAAAAATAGTTGTCTTTTTGTGACTGTTTAACATTTAAAAGTTTTTACCCATTTGCAAGGTAGCCCCATCTTCAACCAAGTTATCAGCAATATTTCTTCCAATTTGCGTTTCAACTGCGGTAGGAGGCTTGCCACCATGTTGGGGTAAGGGATTGTCTACTTTTACAGCGTAATCAATGTGAGAAATGTGGATAATACCATCACCAAAGGTCCTTGGGAGCTTTGGATTCACTTGTGCTATTTTGAAAAAAAAAAAAGATTAGGTATTTGAGTTTAAACAAGCCAGATAGTGTTTGCTTACCAACAATAATTTTGGAATGTGTCATTCCAGCTCTAACGCAATCAACACTGGTTCCCAAACTGCAATACCCATGTTCATCTGGTGGAGAAACCTAAATAAATGCCTAGTGTTAATTATCATTGGAAATAGTCTCATAACAATTCTACACGATTCAGAATTGAGGTGTTTTTATTTCAGAGAGCGTTTATTGTATGCTAAAACAAGTGAATGTTTTTTTAGGAGACAAAACTTATTGCATTGAGTTAATCATGAAACGTAGGTATTTCAGATTCGCATAGGTACTTGAATTGTATTTCAGACAACAAAAGTTATTTTTCCCAAAAAAAAAAGTTCAAAATTGTGCACCAGTGCAATTATCTCATGATTCTATTTGATCGGATCAAATTATCAATGAAAAACAGTACTTATATGATTCTTGGAATGTGGAATTTGACAAAGCATTTTAGGAAAAATGTATTTGCATTTTCTAACCTGAATAACAGCTATATCCGGTTTGATAATCCCTTTATGGAACAAAAGTGGAATTTCTGATAGAAATATTGGGATTGCGTCTCCGCGTCCATCTGCAACTGCTTTCCTGACGTTACCTCCCATAAAAAATGATAAAGACCTATAAAGACAAAATACATCAATCTCCAAATATTTTATGTTTGCTTCAGCAAGATGAATGTTTCATAAATATAATTGAGAAAAACAACACTCAAAATTTTACCAACCTGAAAATTCCCTCACAAGAAGGGTCCGTGTAAGCAGCAGGTCCTTCGGTGTGCATGTGACATACAGTTACATCCTTCAAGTTTTTCTTTTTGCCAACTTGAGTCATTGCGTCCAAACAGTGAATTGGCGTTGCAGCTGCACCCTGAGCGAATACGGTTTGCCCTACAAAAAAATCATATGTTATTGGTTTCTGGCGAATGCGCCAGTATAATGTATTTTGGACAATTTAATTTACCGAAGGAATTAGCAGTTATTTGGTGTTTTAAACTGTAGTAAAACAAAAATATAGTCACAAGATCAATTCTGCGAATAACATAGTGACACCAGTAAATATGATAAAATTAAGTTGATAGCATTCGGGATATCATGGAAAAAAAATTTAAGGAATTTTATTTAGGTTTTCTCTCAGAAAAATAAAAATTATTTGACAAAATTGTAAGCACATTACCTCATTAGCCCATTACCAGTATCTACTGGTCAATGAAAATGGCAATTTTTTTCTTATTTATCCGGATTCGTAGTTCTTACCATTTCCAAGATATCAATAGTGTGTACGGTGTAATTTTTGTATTAATCAAAATACTTATTTTAAAAAATGCATTTACTTTATATTAAAACTTTTTCCAATAAGTATGTAGTACAGGTATTGGTTATAAATGTCACCCCCTCTATCTTTTTTATTTGAGATTTTAGAAATAAGTGTCCCATATAAAAGTTGTATGGTTGAAATCGTTTTTTTTTTTGCATTTTTTGAAATAATGATAGTGGGCAATTGACTGTGACACGCAGTAAAACCTAAACGGTTAATTTTAGAGCAAAACCGATCTTAAATTTTTATTATCTTAGATTTTCATAAACTATCATTTGACACCAACTTCGAATTTAATCCATGATTGAAAATTCTAATTAAATTTAATCTCTGGTTAAATTCACAGTTGGTGTCAAATAATAGCTTACGAAAATCTAAGTCAAAAATGTAGGATCGGTTTTGCTCAAAAGTTAACCATTGAGGTTTTACAGCCTGACAAAGTTGCCTCACAGAAACAGAGGCCACTTCATCAAAACCAACATGCATTCCAACCAGGTAAGTAAATCATGCGAATCAGCTCTACACCGACTGGTGACAAGAGTAGGGAACTCACTAGAAAACAAGGAAGTCGCACTAGTGGCATTCCTTGACATAGAAGGAGCCTTTGACCACACCTCCTTTAACTCCACAGTCAGAGCTACCAGGCAACATGCGATTAATGATACCACATGCAGATGGATCAAATCCATGCTAAAACACAAGACTATAAACTCGACTATTGCTGTAACCTCTATTAAAGTAACCGCGACAAAAGGATGCCCACAGGGCGGAGTACTTTCACCACTCTTGTGGAATCTAGTCGTGGAAGAACTTCTGAGGAAGCTAAACGATCAAGGCTACTTCACCCTAGGCTACGCGGATGACATAGTCGTTGTCATTAGGGGAGGATTTCACAGGACGGTATCAAGCCTCATGCAGGACGCCTTAGGAATCATCGAGGAATGGTGCACGAGGGAGCAACTTCTCGTCAACCCCTCCAAAACAAAACTCATTGCTTTCACGAGAAAAAGGAATCTGGAGGACCTAATCGTCCCTAGTCTATTCCAAAAAACCTTGGAGTTTGGCAGGGAAGCTGAAAGGCGTCATCCTAGATATGAGGCTGAAATAGAATCAAAGTTTATTTAAAGAAAAATTTATTGATATTTCTTGTGACTTACTTATTTCGATAGAATCAACACATCCAAAAGATAACCACCAAAAGCAAGATGACGTTGATGTCACTTAAAAGAGCGATTGGAAAAACATGGAGACTAAAACCGTCAGTTGTACACTGGATATACACTACAGTTATAAGACCAATGATAACATATGGTGCAGTTGTATGGTGACCTAAAGTGAACCAAAGACAAGCAAATCTGGAGCTAGCCAAAATCCAGAGATTTGCATGTCTTTATATTACCGGTCGAGTTACCGGTGCACAGAAAAGCACACCAACGGCAAGTATGGAAACGATCGTAAGCCTCCCACCAATTGACTTTATCATCAAAGCAGAGCCTAAAATCGGGGCATATCGTCTCCAGCTGAACGAAACCTGGAACCCAAAACCAAATCGACATGCGGCAATCACAAAAATAATCACAAACCCTATTTAAACCATGGGTAGCGACTATATGATGCCGAAAAAAACCCTCGAAAAACCCTTCGCCATCGAGATTGTCCCAGTAGAAAATAACGGGGCAACGCCTAAACAAGAAATTATCTGGTTTACTGACGGCTCCAAAACAGAAATTGGAACCGGCGCTGGAATGTATGGACAAACTCTCAGATGCGACATCAGTCAACCTCTGGGAGAATTAGGCAATTCAAACCACGTGACATTCAAGATGGCGTGGCGGCCACACATGGGCCAAAAAACACAAAAAAATATCTAGTTTATGCCAGAATTAATAGTTTAGGTACCTAGTCAACAAATATTTTATTAAATAATGAAAATCAAAGTTGTAAGCAAAACTGTATGCAAAATAATTTAAAATACGCATAAAAACATATTCAAAACAAACTTGCTTGGCCGCCACGCCACATTGAATTTTCCTTTTTGACAGATGGATTGAATTGCCTAATACACTACTGTATTCCAAGCTGACATATATGCCATCGACTCCTATCTGAGAGAAAACCTAAGGAGGTAAAAACATCCTTATCTGCTCAGACAGTCAAGCGTCGATCAAAGCACTCGACAGCTTTGAAATACAATCCAAACTTCGTCTGGGAAGGCTTTGAAAACCTCAAAAACCTAAGTATGGCCAACAAGGTAACCCTTAAATGGGTGCCAGACCATAAAAGAAATGAAAAGCAGATGCTCTGGCAAGAGAAGGATCAGCAACTAGTTATACTGGTCCTGAACCGGCAATTGGCACCACAAAATCATCACTAGGAACAAAAATAAACCAATGGGTGTATAGACAACACCAAACCTACTGGCAAACTCTTCCGAAGCTCAGACACAGTGAGCTAATGGTACAACAACCATCACCTAAACTTACTGAAGAGATCCTACAACCAAACAGGAATCAAATCAGGCCAATAACTGGACTTATAACTGGACACTGTAGCCTGAGAAAACACCTTCATACAATGGGCATCCTCCAAGGGAACCCATATGCAGACTTTCTGACGAGGAGGATGAAACCGCCACCCACATAATCTTCGTCGAATGTGAGGCTTTACGCTGGTGGAGATCAGACAGATAGGGCCAGAAGACTCTATCTCTAAACTGACCAAAAGCAACACGGTGAATAGGCTCCTAAACCTAATCAAGGTCACAAAACTTTTCACTGACTAAACAGACAAACAGGGCAATACAATAAGCTGATCAAAAAATCAACCATAGAACTTTTATTTGGGAGACTTTTTTCTAAAATGTCAAATAAAAAAAGATAGAGGAGGGTGAAATTTATAACCAATAACCCTGTACCTACATATTTTGAATATATGTATTTATTTTCAGAATAATTTAATTAACAAACCTTTAAATTTTTTTAGTTTTACCTCGAGTTTTACATAAGGCTTGAGATATAATGTAGTGATTGATATTTATTTTTTTAATATTACATAACATCCGAGCTGTACCGAAATCGCTGGCTAAAAATAAATTGTATTTTCGTTTTTGGGCGTGTTTCCCTGAATTCTTATTTATTCCGAAGTGACGCTTATCTAAATTGAATTTACATATACTGATTAATAATCCACCTTGTAATCTACAAATTACGGCGACGACAAAATTATTAATCATTATGTCCTTGAATTACTTAACACCCGCAATATTGATAATAATAACAATCTATACAGAATACACTTCCATCGCAGGCTATGATGGTAATAAAAATACAATTTGATACAAAACGCATAAGGTTCAAGGTTCTATTCACTTATTCAAATTCAATCTGTAACAATAGATTTATCACAAGATTAAGTTGCTGATGTTGATTTATAATATTAAAAATTTACAGAACATGCATTAAAGTCCGTTCATAAAGTCTATAGACTTTTTCGAGTGTGTGATCTGAGATTTTGGACACTGATTTGCTAGATTTTGGGGCCTCGGGTTAATCGTTTAAATTGAGAGCTGGTCGCCCAAGTCGACCCCCTAATTTTGGCCGATCAGCGTCCAAAATCTGAGATCACGCACTCAAAATAGTCTATACACTTTATGAACGAACTTAAGCTACCATTTTCACATCATAAATTATTGGCAATAGCCCTGAAAGGATTAAATTTTGAACATGTTTGTTCTGCAATATCAAGTAATATCATATATCCCGAGATATATCCTTATTTATTGCAAAACACTTGAGTAGAAGAGCCTTTCCATACAGGCCCCATAAAGTGAAAGAGATTGTCAATATGAGCCAGACAAATCAGTCAGTTGAAAATAATTTTACTTAAATTTAATTTTTTGGCCACATAGTTGATATCCAAATGAGCACCTGCTTTTTTATTAAGATCGCCTGGATCGGAGTTTTCCAATATTTGAAATGTCTATATTTATTATAATACAGTTTTGATCATCGAACAAGTAACCCAGAGAGTTGAAGATCTTTTAGTTTTTGCCATTTAGCCAAATTACTTCATCAGAACAATATTGGATGCCCCATTCCCTAGCCAAAACAATCAAATATTGTTAAGGGTGATTGTAATTGCAGAAACAATGAACATGAGAATGTGGCAAAAATAAATCAATTTTTACAGTTTTTTTTTTTTAATTTGAAAAAAAACTCGGAAAAAGCATTGGATTGTGTCGTCCATTGTGCATTGCTGGCCAAGATATATAATAGAGATGAATTACTTAATTAATTTTAATGGAAACGGAAGCTGACTGCGGCGACGTTGATTCGAGGCCTGAAGAATTAATGATTGGCGTCGTCAAGTCGACACTAGGACCACATCTGTTTCTTCTATTTCTAAGCGACCACCTATCAAGGATCACATGTTATTTGCAGACCATCACTTGGGTCAAAACTGACCCTATCTAAAGAGATGCAGAACGATATAAACAGAGATATGCTACTGCTAAAGAATTGGTTCGCAACAAGCAAGCCCTCTCTGAACACAAATAAATGCAGGTTGTGCATTTATTTGTGCACCAGAAGCTCAAGGAAATTAAATTTTTGTGAATAACAATCCAAGAAAATCTCAAGCGGGATCAGCAATCAGCACATTGCTCTCCTATCAAAAAATTCCTCAATAGATACTAGAACAGGAAAACTCTCCAATATTCGCAAACTCTATGTGGTTTTACAATCAATAATATGGAAATGATATTGCTTCTCCAAAAAAAAGAGCAATTCGTATTTCAACAGGTACAAAGAATTGACGTTTAGCTTGTGGTTCGAAGAGACTTAAACTTGAAAATATTGACAATGTTTGAGCTCTTTATATTTGCAACTGCGAGGAGAATAAATCAAATCAAGTATACCTAAAGTAAAGCCTCTAGAAGCGGGGAGATGTTGGAATATAAAAAAGTCCTGTAACTTGAAACATAGTGGAAAACAATATCGAATTGTAATGTGTGAAAAAATAATTTAATAATTTAAGTCAAGATTAGACGCCAACAGGCAACCTATAAAACATCACATTGTTCGATAATTTGCTTTGTTCTTATTTGACATTTCCCATTCATTAACATATTATAATGATTATTGGTGTTGCTGACCTTGAAGACAAATATGTTGACAAAAAATGAGACTGGAACCGACTAAAAATGCAAGTTGTTGTTGAACTAAACTAAAAGTTAATTATAAATTATATTAGCGGCTTTACCCCCCCCAGAATAAAATATAAACGTATTTTTTTTTTAGAATATTTATACATGAAAATGTTGAGTGTAGAAACTGCATTCATAAATGTTTGGTGGAAACAAAATACTGATGAATAAAGCAATGATTATCTGAAACCATTGTTTAGGTCTAACATTTACATGTATGATTAGTCAACATTTTTTTTTTTTACAATGATATGTTTGTATAGCTGATAACTCGGCTGATAACTTACAAGCTTTAAAATAAATACAAACACAATCATGGTATAAAGTTTACATTGGAACCACTATATAAATTTAAAAACATAAAAATTGCTGTTACTTTGTATTTTACAAAAAAAAAAAAAACAATTTTCGCTTGCATATAGGTAGGTAAGTATTTTCACAGTATCTTTGCGAAAGAAAATTGAACTGAAGAAGGGACTGACCGCTGAAACATGCTAGGGCTCAAATAAACTAAAATTGTGGAAATTTCGAAACCTTTTTTCTCGCCTTTTTTGTTTTCTTTCAGAATTTTTACAACAATTACCTATTTATTTGAAGAATCCTTTGAATATTTTTGTTTTACAATAGGTACAAATAATAAATAATTAAGTACAATGTGCATATAAATGATTATTACAGTTCAGAATCTTCTTATTTTCTTCTGAGAATCCTATATTCACATTTGCAGAATTCAACTTTCCTCTCATAAAATGGCCAATTACTACGCCTGACAAAAAACTCGAGAAAAAACTAAAGACTTTCTAGACATACATAAAACAATAAATGCCCATCAAATGGTACCATTTCGCAGTAGATACATAAACAGTTAGAAGTCATTATTAGATTTATTTTTAATCAATATTTACTACGTTTTCATGAAGTTTTGAAATCGATTTGAATACGGTTTTGGTATTGAAAACACCATGAAAACAGGTACTGAAATCGATTTCGGTCTCAAGGTCGTTTCACCTTTTTTTGGGATCGTATCGAGATCAAATTCAGAAACATGTGTTTCGATTTCAATTCTAATTTTGTCTCTGCATGAAAACGGAGAAGAGGATGGGATTCAAAACGATTTGAAAACTCCATGAAAACGTAGTAATTAAAAAGACTGAAAATCATATGCCTATTGGCTAAAACTCATATTGAAATTGAGGCACAACCAACTCAAATTATTAAGAAAATAATTATTTGGACCGCAAATTTCGACAATATAAACAGTTTTATAGAAGAAAAATCTCATAGTATTGGAACGGTCACCTATCAAGAATTAAATAATACATATTAACCAAACCAGTGCCATTAGCAATTTAATACAAATAAAATCGGTTAGAGTCAACCCAAGAGTTAACCATAAGAAACCTTGGACAAATGAAAGAATTTCCAATGAAATTGACAAGAAATGGAACCAACAGCCACAATAACCATTTCCATTGCATATATTAGAAAGAGAATCATCGTATACCTATACCTAGGCCTATACCTATACATACACCTATACCACTCCTGATAATATGCTTGAAGATATTATTGGTACAGCCAGAACAAATTTGTAAAATGAAATTGCAACATCAGAATCTACTAAGCGATTTTATAAATATATTGGCAGAAGTTTGAAATCCAGTATCTCACATATTTCTCTAACAGACCATACTAAGCAAGCAACAGAATTTCCAGAATTCCATTTCAAAAATGTATTGTTTTACATTATTATTGGAAAAAAGCACTACATGTAGTTGTGATTTGTAAGATATATACCGGAGTATCTGATGAATGGTAGGTCGATTTTTTCTTCATTGTCTTACAAAGCTCAACTCCACTTATCCCATAATATTGTAGCTGTGTCTATAGTATGGGGAAAGTGCAGTTGAATGTACACTTAACGCCTGTAGATACTGTGAATTTTCCATAATATGTGAAATATTCAATTAGATTTGTGAAACTGCTAAAGAAAAGTTTTTTAGTGTTTTTAATCTCATGGCATAATTTAGTATTGGGGTCACGACTGGACTAGGAAGCAAAAGCTAAAAGAAGATAAAAACTCAGATAGAAATTTGAAAAAAAAAAAAAACATTTAATTCGAAAAGTAAGTACTCCTAAAATAAATAAAAAACAAACCGAACGCAATATTAAGCTGATAAGAATATCTTAGGTTTGTCTTTTAAAGGTCGAGAAGAGTTTAAGAGATATATTTAAATTTTTTTTCTATAAACATTGATAACATAACAATGACTACATTTGTTAAATAATATGGATAATATAGGTATGGAAAAATGCTTCATATTCACTAGAAATCAACTAAAAACTGAAAAACGAGATCTTGATACGCACCACCAATGTTTCAATTGGTAAAAATATTTGAAAAAAGTTCAAACAAAGAAGTTTGCTTGACTCATTCGTGATATATTTGTCACCATTTTTCAATCCCTTCAAAGTAAAAAACATTCTCTTGATTGGGTACCTAAGTATTTTAATTTAAGCTGCAATTTTCAAAATTTCGAGTCAAATAATTTTAAATTTTTTTGAGAGGCTCATCTGATTTTAAAAAATTATTCGAATAAATGACAAATTTTCAAATCCCGAAATCCAGTCCAGTAGCTTATTTCATAAAAGAATTTATTCATTTCATGTTTTCTGTCGATTGTGGCAACTTAGATTCTAGGAGGCCCATGAATCTGTGTCCTATTTAATTTTTCAGTTAATTTCAAAAGCAGAAACCAAGTATTCTAAAACAAATTAAATTTGCTTTTTGTTTTGAATAAAAATATTTACTTTCAAATTTACTATCGCCCCAAAATAAACTGAGGCGTTGGAAAAAGCCTAGGAAGAAGCTTTGATAAACATTTCTTTCCAGAAAATAACATTTATTAGTCTAACGGCCAAAGTCCAAAGTAAGATTTATAGATTTGTCCTTTGTATTGCATAGCTAATGAAAATTGAGGCACAATGTTGGGTACTTAGATTTAAAGAATAGAGAAGGTAGTAGACTTGCCTGATTGTAAATCCTGGAAAGCGTCTTCGGCTGAGACCCATTTTGGTTCTTTTCCCTTAATGGGCTGGGCAGGTTCGTTAACATACGTAAAATAAGTTCTGGACGACGACACAATTTTAAGGGGCGAATAGGCGGCCCCAAATTTGCTGGAAAAAGTCCTCAGGGAACCTGCCATTACTGCTCAGCCTAAAAATAAAAAAATAAATAACTTTTTCCTGGCACTGCACGCAGGGAAACAACCTCTGTTCTCTGTTGGCGTCAAACTGTAGGATCGGATTGGAAATGATAAAAATATAGAAATTAATTGCTTTCAACAACAAATCAAAATGTTATTTGATAACTATAGAAACTGGCCGCCAAGTAGCGACATCTCTCCGACTCTACTGCACTTTTTACACCAGTTTGCCGTTTGGTTAAATTACAGTGACTCTATTACCACAGTGGCGACAATTTCCGTCTTCTTTTTGATTGGTCCTTTAAAATCCCATATATTTACATCAATGAACTCCGCCATTTTGTGCCAAACCTATTGCTACTTTTAAATATGAATATATAGGATTTAAATGGACATCCATCATAAAAAAATTAAATCAACGTATCCGATGACTATAATTAGGCACATCAAATACGCTGTTTTCAATTGTTTATGATGGATGTCCATTTAAATCCTATATTTTCTTATTTGAAAATAGCAAGAGGATGGGCACAAAATGACGGCGGGACCTCTATTGTCGCCACTGTATGTAAAGGTTTATTTATGTTATGGCCATTTCCACCAACCATTTTAGGGGAGCCCTAACGATAAGTATTCCCTAAAATGACATTTTTACATGGAGAAAGTCAGTTTAAGGCATACCTATCGTGAGGGCTTCGTAAAATAGTTGGTGGAAATGGCCATTAGCCACTGTAGATTAAATTGATTAAATCAGCGAGGGAACAAAAAAATGAAAAGCCCACGTGATAGGCTCAATAAGGGTTTTCAAGAGCTTGACCGGTAAATACAATTCGCTGTCGGTATTTAACAATTTAATTCGAGCGGTTCAGCAGATTCACGACGTATCAAACGAGCCCTAAGCCCTAGTGCAAGAGAATCGATTTTTCACATCAAAATCAGTGCAGAAAATCGCATATCCTGCAAACTCGTAGAAAAAGAAAAATTTAAAAACCGTCCCCACTATTATGGCTCATTCTCACTTGCGCGAAACTCGCTCTTTTTGCGCGAAATTCGCTCTTTTTTTGACATTGCTTCGACAATTTGACGTTTTATGCGTGTATCAAACGTCAAATTGTCAAAAAAGGGCGAATTTCACGCAAGTGAGAATTATTCTTCATTCTCACTTGCGCGAAATTCGCTCTTTTTTTGACATTGCTTCGACAGGTTGACGTTTTATGCGTGTATTAAACGTCAAATTTTCGAAGCAATGTCAAAAAAGAGCGAATTTTGCGCAAGTGAGAATTAAGCTTTAAGCTTTAAGCCTAGTACTCATAACTGCGAAATTCGCATTTTTTTGACATTACATCGACAATTTGACGTTTGATACACGCATAAAACGTCAAATTGTCAACGCAATGTCAAAAAAATGCGAATTTCGCAGTTATGAGTACTAGGCTTTAGGGAGGATTTTCATGCATCCGTTTTTCCGACGAAATATGTCCGTTTAACATACTGACATAATCGTATATAAATATGTCAAAATAGAAGACTTTTCGGACATATTTCGACGGAAAAACGGATGCATGAAAATCCTCCCTTAAGCCTAGTACTCATAACTGCGAAATTCGCATTTTTCTGACATTGCGTTGACAATCTGACGTTTTATGCGTGTATCAAACGTCAAATTGTCGAAGCAATGTCAAAAAAATGCGAATTTCGCAGTTATGATTACTATAGGCTTTAAGCCTAGTACTCATTTCGCATTTTTTTGACATTGCTTCGACAATTTGACGTTTAATACACGCATAAAACGTCAAATTGTCAAAGCAATGTCAAAAAAGTGCGAATTTCGCAGTTATGAGTACTAGGCTTTAAGGGAGGATTTTCATGCATCCGTTTTTCCGTCGAAATATGTCCGTTTAACATTCTATTTTGACATATTTATATACGATTATGTCAGAATAGAATGTTAAACGGACATATTTCGTCGGAAAAACGGATGCATGAAAATCCTCCCTTAGCGTCGTATTTTTTATGCACCTATACCTTTGTTCCAACCGACATGAGAACCGTTCTAGAACGGCAATTTCCAGTCCAGTCGGTCAATCTATTTGTCAAGTAGGATAAACGCTCAACCTATTGAAAAATAGGTGGGCAACTGGAAATTACTGGTAATGGAACAGTTCTCATGTCGGTTGGAACAGAGCTAAAAAAATTGCTGGTGCTTGAGCGGGCAGGGGAGAGAAAAAACTATAAACAGTCCGGGGTGCTCTAGAGCAACTCAGGAGTGCTTAAAGTGCGTCACTGGAAAGCGACTCATCTGTTCAAGAGCACTCCACCAAAAAGGATTGCTTCACCGAAGGCCTTTTCGGAAACGCTGATCCGATTAACCGGTTCACCAGCTGACGCCGTTGACGTACTATAGCTGCTAACGTCTGAATAGTTGTATTCCTTTCAAGAGTTTGAAACACTCGAGCTACTCGCTCCGGTGCTCCGTCGCCCCCAATTTGCAGGGAACAGATACGTGGTTCAACAAACACTTTTCGAAAGGAATAGGGGCGTGAAGCCCCGGAGCTGTTCCGGAGCTCCTCCTAGGTGTGAAAGGAATACAACTACTGAGTTGCATGTACGATTTGAGTGATTTGACACAACGTTATAATCTCACCTCCCTCTCACCCCTTGCTTATGGATCAGCTTATTAATCGCGCTTACGATCAAATAACTAATTCAGCTAAGAAACTAAAATTAACTTTGATAAGAAAATTGCCTGTTCGTAAGCCGCCTATCTCTTTTTTCAATGGTGCTCATTAAAAAAAGATAAGGAATCAACAGATGGTGATCAGGTTAATCGGATCAGCGTTTCTGTAAAGGCCTCTAATACGATCGCCAGCTCGAGTTGGCAGCTGGTCTGCTGGTGACGTCACCACTATCAACAGCTGAGAAAGGTGACGTTACTCGCAGACCTGGGCTGGGATCACGACAAGAAGAATTCTACATTCATGACGTCAGGTTGCCTAGCATTAGGGTTTCGATTGTTGTTCGGTTCGTTGTTGTATTTGTTATTCGGAGTAATGATCAAGTCTGTACGAAGCTTAACGTTTAGGAATAAGCTTTTTTTTGAGGTGTGCAGCTGACGTTACAAATAGTGGAGAGTTGTCGCGAGGACATGGCAGACTTTCAGATCAATAGGCAGTCCTGGGTTCGGGATGGCCCAGCGGAGCTGGAGTAGAGTTGGAGTGGCGTTTTTATCACGCGACAAAAAAGCTTGTGGAGTGGATTAGTGGAACCGAACAGCATTTGCATGGTGCATTTGGAGTTCTTTAACTTAACCTAACCCTAACAAATTACAATTAATTATTTTAAAAATAAAAGTTTGGGAGTGAATCCTACGCCTACCGGTAGGTCCTTTGTTTTCCAACGGTAGTACGCCTACCAGTAGGTCCTTTTTCATCCACCGATTGTGCGCCTACTGGTAGGTAGGTCCTTTTTCGTAAACTGATCAAGCGCCTACTGGAGGTGTTTTATTACATTAGAATCCGTATATCCTACCAGTCAGCTCTTGCTAGCTAAATGCGTTAATACAATTTTGTTTATTTACAAAATTGTCATTAGGAACTTCATCCACTGAGTAATAAGCCTTTATTAGTACTTAACATCTTTCTAATTTGGACTTTAAACTTGTTGATGTTTGAAATCTGCGTCATTTTAGACGGCAACCTATTGAAAATCCTTCTGCATACACCTTGAAATCATTTTTGAGTCTTCGATTGCTCGCTATGCTGGCCAAACCTCGAATAGAGGATCCTCGGGAGAGCAAATCCATCAAAAACGAGAAAAACCTTTTTCAAATATATCACCTTCTTGTTCAAAATATTTTTGAGTCTGCGATTGCTCGCTCTGCTCGCCGGTGAATCCACCAAAAACGTGAAAAACCTTTATTAAATAGGCATAACCCCTTGAAATTTAAAATATTATTGAGCCTCTGGATTGCTTGCTCCGCTCGCCAAACTTCAAAGAGAAGATTCTCGGAAGCTTAAATCCACCAAAAACGTGGAAAACCTTTTTCAAATATATCACACATCGAACGTAAATGCACAAATATGCACAATAATAGCGTACAATAGGTAGGCGACGGATTCTTGAATTAATATGAACCTACCGGTAGGCTCAGGATTCTTTTTACAAACAGTACCTACCGATAGGCGTTATATCATGTGGCAATTGAGGACCTACCATAATGTTTGAGCGTTATACATACGGTAGGCACACAATCAATGAAACAAATGGGACCTACCGGTAGGCGCAGAGTTCACTCCCTAAAAGTTTTTCTAATCTTTTTTATGAATCTTTGGTATTTGGTGCCTATATTTGATTTTATTGGGGACGTTTATTTCGGAGACTTGTCTGAAGTCATCAACATACCTAAACATTGAAAATTTCAGTGAAATTACGCGTTGGCTCGCATGTCAAATAAGCAGTTTAAAATCCATTCAATCCATTTACCAAGTAATTACAGATTAAATATTGATTTCTTGACTGTCGATTAGTCAAATAATCGATATTCACGAAAACGCACACACTGCACATGCCCGCTCTGGCGCTTGCTGATGACGAGATGGTGCTTTCAGAGTCAGCTCTTTTGACTCCCGCACGTCCTTCCCAGCGCATGTGGAGTTACTCTTTTAGCTCAAAATGACAATACCCGAACGCATCGAGTGTGTTTATTGCACTTGGAGTTTATAGAACAGTCATCCCGAACCCACCTTTGGTTGTGTTCTTGGCTAGAGGTAAGCAAGTAGTTTCACAACGCAACCGCTGCCATCCGGCATGTAGGTATTACAGTGACCATATTAAGCCACAGTGGCGACCATTGCCGTCCTATTTCTGATTGGTTCTTTAAAATCCTCTATGTCTATATCCATATTGAAAACGCCGCCATTTTGGGGCTTACCTCTTGCTAATTATATACATGAATATATAGGATTTAAATGGGCATCCATCACAAAAAATAGAAAACAACGTATTTGATCTCCCTAATAATATAGACGCTTTAAGGCCTATTTTACAATGGACGTAACGTAATCGTAAAGACGTAACATAAGTCCTAAGCATGCGCACATTAGATTTATTTGCGTCAAATATGTCACCGGAAACACAACGTAAGAGATGACCAACTTCATCTTCTCTTACGTTGCGTTTCCGGTGACATATTTGATAAAATAAATCTAATGTGCGTATGCTTAGGATTTATGTTACGTCTTTACGATTACGTTACGTCCATTGTAAAATGGGCTTCAAGCTTGGCCATTTACGTAAACGATCGGTCAAAACGAAAAATTCAATATGGCGTGGCGGCCAGCAAGTTTGTTTTGAATATGTATTTTCATGCATATTTCAATTATTTTGCTTCGAGTTTTCCTTGCAGCTTTGATTTTGATTATTCATTAAAATATTTGTTTACTAGGTACGTAAACTATTAAGGGCGGGAATTATAAAACTGCTTTTGACAGTTAACTTGAAGTTCACTTTTTGAATTACCTACATGTAATTCCAGAAGTTAACTTTAAGTTAACTCTCAAAGTAGTTTGATAATACCCGCAAAATTTTCTAATATAAATATAACAACATCTTTTATTGCTTTTATTTTAATTCTTATTTTTGGTCTATTACATGAAAAAAATCAAGGCTCATTAAATTGAGCTAAAATCATTATAAATATATTTTTAATATTACTTTTAAATCCGCCTTCATAAATTTTATACCAAATTACTTCGTTTAACTAATTTTATTGTAACCTATTTCTTCGTCCTTATTCAAGCAGAAACTATATATTTTTTTGTGTTTTTTGGTTCATGTGTGGCCGTCACGCCATCCTGAATGTCACGTGGTTTGGAATGCCTAATTGATTTTGTAGCTGTGTTTTTTAGGTTTTCTTTTTATTTATAAGTACTGTATTTATGTTTTTGAACCTATTATGGCAATATCCTTGAGGGAGAGCAGGAACTGTATTGCGCTGTTGCTAAATCTTATTTTTTTTCCTGAACATAAGAATTATTTTTACGTTTTTTTTTTGTTAAATGCGGTTTTACCCGGAGAAAACACCAAAGCCGTTTTCTCGCGTCCACTTTTTTCGAAACAGGTTTGAAACGGGCAATGGTAACAGCATTGCTGTTTCAAAAAATGTTTCGAACCAATGTCAAAAAAGTGGCCGCGAGAAAACGGCTCTAGTAATCCGGAGCCCGGAGACCATTATGTGAAAACCCGTAGACTCCGGGTGAAACCTGTAGAGGTGGCAACCCTATCCGGGGGCAGGTACAGTGACTCTATAACCCACAGTGGCGACAATTGCTGTCTTATTTTTGATTGGTTCAAAAATCCCATATATTTATATTGAAAACACCGCCATCTTGTTACCAACCCCTTGTTACTTTTAAATGTGAATATATGGGATTTAGGTGAACATCCATCAAAATCAACGTATTTGATGGACCTAATAATGGTCATCAAATACGTCGATTCCAATTTTTTATGATAGATGTCCATTTAAATCCTATATATTAATATTTAAAAGTAACAAGAGGTTGGGAACAAGATGGCGGCGGGACCTCTATTGTCGCCACTGTATGTAAAGGTTTATTTAGCCACTGTAGGGGCAGGGAGGATTTGTTAAAATCATTGAAATGTTTGGTTCCGGAAATGATAAAGTGGTGTAATAAAATAATTTCCCACACATAGAATATACATAGTATATCTATTATTGGTTGCGTACCTACCTATACTCATTACTGACCCTAGGCCTGCCATTGATGAGATTTTTTTTATTAAAAAAATAAATAAAATAGTTGTTATTTTAAATGTACTGTCCAGAGGCTGACAGTTGCCCAAAATAGAAAAGTTCTGGAATTAAGCTTACTTTTCATGCATCCGTTTTTCCGTCAATCCGATGATCCGGAAGTATTTGTTCCAATATTTTGGCGCCAAAATATTGGGCCAATAGGAATACTTCCGGATTATCGGAAAAACGTATGCATGAAAAGTAAGCTTTAAAGGCTGTGTAAACCGAAAATGCGTTTTTAGTTTATAATATGTAAAAAAAAAAACCAAGAACAACGTCGAAAACCACGCCTCTCTGCTGCCGGATTTCTATCAAAAGATATCATTCCTTAGAGCTTGCAACAAAACGTAGACTGACGGCACAACCGCGTGGAGCCCAACAGATTCTGCTTTTGTGTACTTTGGTTTAAAACCCAAAGCCATGTTTCACCTATCTAAGTCAACCCGTATTTAAGTGAGAGTAGTAGGATTTTACTAGAGTCTGAGTCTACAGTATCCGAGCGGTTGTGACGTCACGCTGCCATGGCTGTTTTGCGAATATCTCGAAAACCGTTTGGCATAAAATGGTGCAGAAATTTTCACCACACCCGCTTCAACATCATCCTCTATTTCTCAGCTACTACAATAGCTGCCTTTCTCATAGCCGTGCCCTAATTGAAATCCAAAATTAAGATAAAAACCACAAAAACGTTGATATGTAATCAAATTTTATTAAAATATCGAAAAGTATATTAGAAGTCTTAATTTGTAAGGGGTTTGTCTATAGGAAAACTTCCTTTCCCTTTTAAAACGGATTTTTGTACTTTCTGAAAACAGATGACTAATGTTAAAACACTATTGAACCAAACCCTGACTTACCTTTGCCAAACTATGACTTATAAGTCTATCAGCTTGCCTCAATTGGCTTTCTCTTTGGTTTATTAGCCTCCCTTGAACTTCAGGTAACTTTTCATAATTCTTTTTGTTGATGTCTCTCATTTCTTTTTCTGTAAACAGCTTGTAATTTTCTGAAATAAATAAACAAATAAACTACCAAAGAAAATAAATTATAATTTATTACCCTTATTCGATTGTCTTGAATTGGTCACGAGAAAATTGATCTTCAATGCATCTTTGTGTCGCTCCCTTATTATTCTCGAATTCAGAAGCATCTGTCTTCTATACTCAGCAGAAAGAATAAATTTTGGACGATTTTGTATAAGGTACTCCTAAAAATATTGAATAAATTATTTAGAAGCTACTAGTTGAAAAAAATATGCAGCTACCATCAAAGTATATTGAGCTTCATCTTCTTTTTTGCTATTATTTGTTTTTTTGACATCTGCCCTCGATTTTGATGTTTTCTTCCATTTGGCTCTTCCACTATCATCTTTATCAGTCTTGTTGCGTTTCTCTCTTCCTAATGAATTTTTCCGATCATCGCATTTTCTATCATAGTTTTCTTGATTCTTGAAACTTTTCCTGCTCCAACCATTTTGTACTTTAACATTATTCAAGCTACTTTTAGAAGATTTACACCTTCGCTTCAAATTATGATCTTGTAGGATCAGAGTATAGGCTAGGCTTTCAGGCCGTCTTCGACACTTTGTATTATCGACTCTACAGCATGAGCAAAATTGTATCCCTTCACGATTTTGCTCGTTTTGCCACTTCGGCAACATATATTTGGGATCATGGAAGCAGTGATCGGGTCGTTTGTAATAACATCTGCTACAATAGGGCAAAGAATCGTTACCTTTTTGTAAGAAGCTGACTTCAACTAAGAACGCTTTCTGTTTGCAACAGTAACACGTGATACGGAATAATGGGCTGCTTTCTGAATCGGAGGCTAAAACAAAATTTATACCTGTTTTTGGATTCAAGAGAACAAGTTGACATAGATTGGTCAGATGTTATTACTAGCAGATTACTTAAATTATGGGGTAAATTTTTTTTACCATTTCCCGAAAAAGAAAGGTGTACAAAAGGAATGTCCAGAGGGGCAACTTCAGGAATTTCTTTTGTTATTATGATAATTTTGGGTCAGAAGTCATTATTAATAATTTTACTTCGAGAAAGTTGTAGTTCCCGTTACATTACCAAAGATGTCAAAAGAAAGTAATACTTATGTACTAACAAACTTTCCAGCATCAAGTTGTAGTTTAGAGCTCTCCTATGCATTTGTGAATCATAATTTATGAGTAGATGGGTACTTCAAAAATTTGAAGGAAGAAAAAGTTATAGAATTAGATAACTATACAGTAATTCGACTAATAGTAATAACTTCTAAACCCTTATGACAACAAAAATTGATAAGGACAAAATAAAAGTAACACTTGAAACCAAATTTAATTTTAGGTTGAAATAATTGAAACTCACTTCTATTTTCACTCTCAGGCGTGGTCACATTGGTTTTTTCATTCGCACTTTTGCTTCTGCCTTTTTGACATTTTGAGCATATCTCTTCAGCTATATCACAGGTAGCTTTGTCGCCCTCGTTGTCTTCAGTGTTTGGAGGTTCAGTGTTCAAATTTTTATTTAATTTTTCAACTGGTTGGACTTGAACGTTCTCATACAGTTTGGCAACAGAAGATTTAGATTCGGCAGTTCCAAAATTAGGAAACACTTGAGTTCCAAAATGGCGATATGTGGTGGAATTCTTTGGAGCTACGGAACATGCATTTTTTTCATAAGTCATCTCAACTTTTTCAGCAAAAATTTCATCCTGTTCCTCAATTTCCAGTGAAATTTTTGGCAGGCCTATATGCATCTCTTTTTGCTCAGTGCTTGTAAATGTTTCTCTATCCATCTTTGGTACAGAATTACGAGCAATTTCAGTTTGTGTGGATGCAAAAATAATGTCAGCCTTTGTTTGACTACTTTTACATGAAGAAGTAGCAGCAGACAAATTACCAACCCTGGAACGTTTCCAACACTTGTCTTGAGATAATGAGTTTAGGCTTCCTGCAGTAGGCGGTTCAATTCCTTTATGAAGACCAGCAATTTGGCCTTGTGGCATTTGGAATCTATCTAGTAGTTTTTTCACAAAAAAACAGCTGCACTTAGCGTCTGCAATTGTGCATCTGCACTTTTTGAACACTTTTTTCAAAGAATTAGAGCTATCTGCAAACGAAAGATCATACCTTTATAATAGAATGTACTGAGGATAACTTTGACCCAAACTGATTCTACCAGTTTGAATTAAAGTTCACTTATGCCCGTATCCGCCAATGTCAAAAAACAACAGTTATTTTTTAACTTGTAGTTAAGCAGTCATTTTCATATCCACCAACAAAATTTTGCACTTAACTGGATGTTAAATAAAACTGGCGAATTTTGGCCAGTTAAAAAAGATAACCATCGGTTTTATTTTGACGAAATATCTACTCATTGAGTTTTCAAATGTCAAAAGATAATTTTGTTCGGTTTTTTTATGAAATATTAGATAGTTGTCTGTGTTAGATGAGATCTCTAATACTACCCATAATTGCTGGACAATGGAAAATAAACTATTTGACGATGATCTAGACATCCTTATTGATAAAGTGCAGGATGGGTTTCCTAGAAATCAGTGGAAAAGGCCTGATTATTTTGAAGATATGCCTGACTAGTGACAATAGCAATCTTACACAATATAGCTCGAAGAATGGGAGAAGAACTGCTGTCCCTGAAGATATTGATGCAGGATGCAAATATGTTGGACTATTTAATTGACCAAGGAAATATTCCAGAGATGCCCACCTAGAATAATAATCCACTTTTAATTATTCATAGGCAACAGATCATTGAAAACTTCTTCAATAACTGGGACACCCCATACGTCTTGTTTTTAAGTATTCAATATTAAAATGTTTATTTATTCAATTTAAATCAACCTAATTCAAATCAAAAAGTCTAATTATTTTTACATAAAGCTTTATTTCAATAAAAACTTGAACATATACAGGGTGTCACGAAAGGTTTGTTACAAACTTCTAGGGATGGTAGATCTCGTAAAAATAAAACTTTTTTCTTGATAAACATGTGTCCGGAAATGCTTCGTTTTCCAGATATACAGGGTGGCCCAAATTTGAGCCTCATCATTGGGATCTCGGTAACCGTAAAAGATACGGGGTCGGTTAAATTATGGCAAAGTTGCGCAATTTTATGACCAATAGAATACCGTTTTGAAACTAGAAAGATTCCAAATACTTCCGGAGATATTCGGAAAAAAACAAAATTTTGAAAAATCGTTTTTTTTTCCCCGGGCTTATTTGAAAAGCAATTTTAAAATAAATGTCACTTCATCATTGTTACTTCTTCCCCTTTAGAAGATGGTGGTAGGTACTAAATTTAAAATTCGACGTTTCGTCTCCAGGCGGCCATCCTTAACTTACGTTTTTTAAATACGAACCTAGATTTTTTATTTGCGATTTTGTCATCTTTGGGCATCCTAAAACTGATACTGTTTATAATTTTTCAATAACACGGTAAAAAAGCAGGTCCGTATTTGAAAAACGTCGGATTTCAAATTTTATACTGCTATCTTGTAAAGAAGAGAAAGTGACAATGGGAATGTGAAATTAATTTTTCAAAATCTTTTTAAATGAAATCAGGAAAAAATTTAAGAAAAACGAGAAATTCATGTTTTTTTCGTATAGTTTTAATTTTTTCCTGATTTTATTTAAAAAGATTGTGGAAACTAATTTCACCTTGCCATTGTCACTTTTTGTTCTCTACAAGATGGCGGTATTAAATTTAAAATCCAATATTTCGTTCCTCTGAAATCATCATTAATTTTTTTTTTTAAATACGGACCTGCTTTTTTTGCTGTGTTATTGAAAAATTATAAACAGTATCGGTTTTAGGATGCGCAAAGATGACAAAATCGCAAATAAAAAATCCAGGTCCGTATTTAAAAAAAGGAAGTTGAGGATGGCCGCCTGAAGACGAAATGTCGAATTTTAAATTTAATAGCACCATCTTCTAAAGGAGAAAAAGTGACAACGATCAAGTGACATTTATTTTAAAATTGCTTTTCAAATAAGCCCGGGAAAAAATAAAAACTATTTTACAAAATTTTGGTTTTTTCCGAATATCTCCGGAAGTATTCGGAATCTTTCTAGTTTCAAAACGATATTCTACTGGTCATAAAATTGCGCCACTTTGCCATAATTTAACCGACCCCGTATCTCTTACGGTTACCGAGATCCCAATGATGAGGCTCAAATTTGAGCCACCCTGTATATCTGGGAAACGAAGCATTTCCGGACACATGTTTATTAAGAAAAAAGTTTTATTTTTACGAGATCTACCATCCCTGGAAGTTTGTAACAAACCTTTCGTGACACCCTGTAGATTTTTCAAATTGTTCAAGTTTTTCTTTTTCAACCACAAATCAACATGACCACCACAAACGAAAAATAAAAAATATGTCATTAGTGACATTTTTGGCTGGGTTGCCAGAATGTGCTGGAAGATAAGTGGGACTTTTCTAACTACATACACTGAAAAAAAAATCGTTCATAATATTGACGAATGGCGGTTGTTATTTTTTTATTTTTTCATCAATTAAATGAAATATATCATCAATCCAATTAATCAGTGTTCATAGCCTAATTACTTCGTTCCACAATGTAACAAATTTATGTTCATTATTATCATAAAACCCATGAATTTTTATTTTCCATTGTTCGAACGAACATTTTCATCAGTATAAGCGTATAAGGAACTTTATTTGAAGCAGTGACGGCTCGTGGTGTCCAAGTAAGGGTGGGCGACAAAAATAAAAAAAGGCCGTAGGCAGATTTTTCCTAGATTTTCAAGGTCGCGGCCTTTTCAAATATTGTATTTAAATGTATTTTTTATTTTTGCATTTTTTATTCAGGGTGGCAGTGCTCACCTTGCCCATATAGGCGGACCGCCACTGCTTTGAAGACCAGTGATTCTATTCCTTGATTTTATGAATAATCGTTCATAAACCATATTCATTGTACTGATGATTATTTCTTATCCCAAAAAGCTTGTTCATCATGCTTATGGGACTTTCTTCATTGTGTCAATGAAGTTATAAATCGAATCAATGACCAAGAGTTTATTAATTAATGAATATTATGTTTCATCAGCTTGACGTATGTGTTAGTGATTTAATGAGCGTTTATAACTAACGAACTTTACTCATCAATTTAATGAATTTTATAGTTTTGATATAGACCTATTCGTCATGCTAACGTATAGAATTCATTAAACACACCCGCACTCCATATTATCGACAGTATATCGTAAATTATCCGGAAATTATATTTTGTGTTGGTGTTTAATTCAACTCTTTTTGGAAGAAATTCGGAATTCAGGTATTCATTGAGTGGAATTATTTCTTCATTTATAGTGTACAGAAAACATTGCAGAACGTGGACACTACCCGGGTGCCATCTGTCAGCAAAGGCAACCATTAACGCTGAAATCCAACATTGCTTGTTGGTGTGTGCTAGCGCGGCGTTTGGGCGACTTCTAGACAGAGTTTGCAAAAATCACGACATCAGGGCTGAGATCAAACTTCGTGTCTACAATACAGTTGTAATACCAACACTTACATAAATAACTGCGAAACATGTACCACCTACAGAAAATAAATAAAAAGCCTATAAAAATGTCACCAGCGATGCCTGAGAAGGATCCTACGGATTAAATGGCCAGACCGACGAACGAACATCAGTGTTTTAAAGGAGGCCAACCCAACTAACTTGGAAGCTAAGAAATTGTTTGGAATTTGCTTCTATCGTTTGAAGTACTATGTTTCAGAGTTTTCTAATGACAAACATAAGACTCTAGTCTTCACTCGTTTTAAAATGGTCATAACTTTCGAACGATTCCAGTTAGCAAGTTGCGGTTATCTTTAAATTGAAAATCAGCTCAAAATATATTGATATACGTCAAGAAATTGTTTAGAATCTGCTTCTGTCCTTTGAAGTACAAGGTTTGATAGTTTTCTAATGACAAACATAAGATTTTAGTTTCCACTCGTTTTAAAATGGTCATAACTTTTGAACGATTCAAGCGAAGCAAAGAGTTGCGGTTTATTTTAAATTAAAAATAGGATGCGGGCAATTAGTAAATTATACAGGGTAGCCAACAAAAATTAGTTTTCCAGAAAATCTTTCGCGTCTATTTTAATTTCGTGAATTTTTTTTGATTTTGCTTTTCAAAAGTGTGTTAATGAAGGAAGTATATGGATGAGATGTGTGAGGAATGAATGATCCCGGGATATAGACTGTTGAGATAGAATGCTGTGTTCTAGATATGTATTAGGTACTGTTAGACTTTGGTGTAAGTACTGTTGTAAATAGAAAGCTGGAGTGTCCCAAAAAAATTGATTTTTGTCCAGTTTTCAATTAAATGGCTCTTTAAATCCATACAATTAGTTATTACAATTTTCAATAGCCACTACCACTAGTAACAACCCAAACTAACCCAAATTAGCTCTAACCTGTGGGTAATTGCTAAAGGCAGTCCACTAAACATTTTCAGCTATTTCCAAAATGATACAAACATCTATAAATACAGCTGTAGCTATATTTTTCAATTTTTTTGAGACACTCGTGGGGGTAGGCACTCTTGGAAAGCCAGTCAATAAAGGATTTATGAGAATCCGGTCAATAGTTAATTAGTAGGCCAGGAGCTGAAACTTTATGCTCATTTGTAATTAGAGCTGACTTTCAAATGCGGGATTATATTATGTGTCAGTTGAAACCAAATTGAAAATATGCACTAAATTTACCTGTCATTTGGTATTTGTAATTAGATACAGGGTGGGTCAACTACAGTAGAAACAAAATTGGAAATATGCACCAAATTTATCTGTCATTTGGTATTTGTAATTAGATACAGAGTGGGTCAACTACAGTAAAAACCGAGGTAAAAACAAAATTGGAAATATGCACCAAATTTACCTGTCATTTGGTATTTGTAATTAGATACAGGGTGGGTCAACTACGGTAAAAACAAAATTGGAAATATGCACCAAATTTATCTGTCATTTGGTTTGTAATAAGATACAGGGTGGGTCAACTACAGTAAAAACAAAATTGGAAATATGCACCAAATCTATCTGTCATTTGGTATTTGTAATTAGATACAGGGTGGGT